TGTTTGGAGGAAGAAGAAGGATGAGTACAATCCCAAGAACACCATCCCAACCGTGAAGCATGGGGGTGGAAACATCATGCTTTGGGGGTGCTTTTCTGCAAAGGGGACATAACGACTGCACCGTATTGAGGAGAAGATGGATGAAGCCATGTATTGCCAGATTTTGGGCAACAACCTCCTCCCTCAGTAAGAGCATTGAAGATGGGTCGGGGCTGGGTCTTCCAGCATGACAATGACCCCAAACACACAGCCAGGGCAACTAAGGGGTGGCTCCGTAAGAAGCATTTCAAGGTCCTGGAGTGGCCTAACCAGTCTCCAGACCTGAACCCAATAGAAAATCTATGGAGGGAGCTGAAACTCCATGTTGCCCATCAACAGCCTCAAAACCTGAAAGATCTGGAGAAGACCTGTATGGAGGAATGGGCCAAAATCCCTGCTGCAGTGTGTGCAAACCTGGTCAACAACTACAGGAAACGTCTGACCTCTGTAATTGTAAACAAAGGTTTTGGTACCAAATATTAAGTTCTATTTTTCTGTTGTATCAAATACTTATTTGCCCCACTGTATTCACCTTAAAGGATATGAGTCATACTGTATCTGTCTTCTTACCAAATTCTCAACAAGAAAGTCAGTCAACATATTTCCCAAAATGTCAGCCTGCCCCTTTAAGCATTTTACATATATCAGGAGGACTGGATGGAACTAATTTGTTAAGTGACATTTAATTGAAAAATATAGAAAGGATGGATTAATAGCAGGCTGTTCAAATGTACTGTAGGACTGAATCCATATGAAGTAGATCAAATTATAAAGCAATTAATTATTTTATGAAATGAGAGAATGAGTTTAGAATCACTTTACAAGCCAACAATGACACAAAAGTGTCACATTTTGAGTGTTAAAGGGCCAAAATGCTGGTACAAAATAATAGCTTAGTGATAAGAAACAAAGTTCAATAAAACTAGTGAGGTGAAATACAAAGAGGTATATTAGATAAACAGGTACCTGAGGAAAGCACATAATAAACTAGGGCAGACTGAGGGAAAGGACAAAAAACAGAGAGAAACAAGAAAATATCAAAATGCTTGAGTCAACAATACTAAACAATACAGCACATGAAGTAAAGAAAAGCTTGACCTGATTATGTAAAAAAAAAACACTTTAAAACAAGGAACAGGTTGAAGTAACTGATGTCAGTCAATAGCCAGAGTAAAGGGGGAAGGTGACGGTGGCATGAGACAGGAAAGTGCTTCAAAATAATAGTCCAAAGCAGGAAGTGGCTAGGAATCATGGCAAAAGATGTCTTTATGACCAAATATGTAAATACTTTACAAATACATCAATTAAAATAGACACATTTATCCCTGAAAAAAAGGTGACATTTCTGTTTGACAGTATAATTATGTCTGAAGAAATAGAGCAACTGATGAAGTTATAAGAGGAACATTAAGAGGAATGTTCAGTTCAACTTGACTTTTAATTTAATGTGATCATTTATTTTCATTTGCACAGTACTCTGAGGTCCTACTGTGACATAACTTTGCTTGTCCACTGTGGAATCTAACAAGCACTTGTGACATTTTGTTAGGTTTAACAACTGTTACAGTGAAATATACACTGAAAAAAATGCCCAATATGTTTATTAAGACACATGACTAATCAAGCTTTATTTTGTCTTTTAATATAAGAAATAAAACCCATGACAAAACTTCAGATTATTCTACTGGGAAGCCACAGCGTTGGGAAAACCTCAGTAGGGAATACCATCTTGGGAAGCAAAGACAAAGGAGGTGGGAAAAGAACAGCACACTCTGCAGCCCACCATGGTTTTGTGGGTACAACTGAAATCACTGTTGTCGACACGCCAGGTTGGTGGAAAGGCTTCTCTGCATCTGACACTCCTGAAGCGATCAAAGATGAACTGAGGCGCAGCGTGTTCTTGTGTCCCACCGGGCCCCACATCTTCCTAGTGGTGATAGCTCCAGATGCATCCTTCAATGACAGTCATTTAAACGCAGTGACCACACATGTGGAGCTTCTCGGGGAAGAAGTGTGGAAACACACTATTGTAGTTTTCACCAGAGGAGACTGGCTGGGACCGCACACCATAGAGGAGTACATCGAAGGGGAGGGAGAGGCCTTACAGTCTCTAGTTGACCGATGTGGAAACAGATATCATGTCATTGATAACAAGAATGCTGATGGTGGTACTCAAATCACAGAGCTGCTGGAGAAAATCACTGGGACTGTAGCTGAAAATGATGGGGACATTTTTGTTCCTGATGAAAAGATACTCCTGGCCATTGAAGAAAGAAAACAAATGGTAGAAGAAAGAGCAAGTCTGAGGCAGAGTCAGGTCAAGGCCAAAAGAAAATCTGTTAAAGGTACAGTATGGTTCAGAGTCATTTGGCATTAGTGCCACAAGTACAGTAAATTAGCCATAGATAGGGGTGGACCAAATTAAAGTTTGTTGGGCATTTTCTGGGGTGGAGCTTATGAAATGCTTTAAATAAACAGCATCAGCAGCTGAAGTTTAGTTTTCAGGTGAGCAGTGTGGCAGCACATGCAACAAAGGAGGGAGCAAATTTTTTTCTCATCAACATAATAGTCAATGCATATTCAAATAGTACAAATGTTCTTTCATCAACAGAAGCAAGAAAAATGGTCAGAGTATATAAAAAAGAAAGTTATAGTAAAATAATAAAAATCATATCAGTGCAAAGGTTTGCTTCCCCCTTTATGAAATGTTCTTTAATACTTTGTATGTCCTCCCTAACCTCCTCCAACCTCTTTGGGTGCCCTCTGAGAGCATTGTAAGGTTTCTGGTGTTATTTTAGCCCATTCTTCATGGCATACCTGTGTCAAATCTACCAGATTGCTTGGTTGTCTGCTATGTGCTATGTATTTTTGCCATTTCAAAGTTATGGGATGGAAACTTTTGCTCTCAACTGCATCATATCATTGGTCATTTGCATTGCATGTGTAGCATGTGACATGGTCTTTCACTCTGCAGTGACGCTTGTTTTCTCCTCAGATTCCAAAAATAAGTTACAT